GATGACCCGGATTTGCCTCATATCGGACGAACTAAATTAAGACAAGTTTTAAAAGTATTAAATTTCCATTGGGAGAAATCCATACGAAAATTCCGGGCTGAAGGAAGGCCAATCTTCTACCATGATGAAACGTGGGTAAACTCAGGTCATACTCTAAAAAAATTTGGTCAGATAAAAAATATATTAAGCTCCAGGCAAGCCTTTAAAGAAGATTGGTATACTGGTATCTCCCCACCTTGTAAAGGCAGTAGATTAATAATTTCTCACATTGGCAGTGAAACAGGATTTGTTAGGCATGGTTTGTTGGAATTTTAGTCCAAAATCACAAAAGACTATCACGAGGAGATGACAGCTGATGTTTTCAAAGAGTATTTTGAGCAGATGATTCAACACATACCACCAAATTCAATTATAGTATTAGATAATGCACCTTATCATTCACGACTAGTAGAAAGACTTCCAACGACTGCGTGGAAGAAACAGGATATTCTTGACTGGCTGCGGAATAAGTATCTGTCTTACGAAGATGGAATGGTAAAAAGCAGAACTTTTAAAAATTGCCCAACAACACAAATTTTTCAAAAATATTTATTAGTTTTCTCGGATTCGAAAATAATGGATACATTTAAAACACATTGAAAATTTTGCCAGGTGACATTTGGCGCCTTTCCCTTAATTAAATAAATGTATCTTTTACAAATGACAAAAAACTTTTTATTTTTGAATAAAATAAAGAAGTTTTATTAACACAAAAATACAATTTACATAAGTACAATATAAAAAATATGTTTATTTAGTTTAAATATATACTCTACGACACTGATCAGTCATCTGCCATCAAAATACCTTCATAATCAGATTGTAAGATTGACTGCTGTATTGTATTCCTTCAGATAAAAGTTGGGTTGGTCTCAAACATCTTAAACCGTCAGTTTCAGGCTGATTTTTACTATTATATCGTATTACCTATCCTCTCTGTATTTCAGTTCTCTAATTAGGGTTAAACTTTTAGTGAGCTATCGACAAATTGTGAACCGATTATAATAGGTGAAGAAGAAGGTTTTTTCAATTAGAGTTAACCGATCTACAATTTCATTGACGAATTACCAAACTGTATATTATATATATATTAATTATTCTGCAAAGAATAACTTATCATCGTCTACAAGAAAGCGCTTGATCCATAGCCGCATAAATGGCTTATAGATATATTAAAAATATACAACGTCAATGATAATATAGCAATTTTGTAAAAATATAGAATGTCAGATGGGAAGACGAAGATTTAAAATAAATTTTCATATACATATAAGATATAAAATAAAAAAAATCATAAGTAGATGATTTAAAATTATTGACCAGATACTGAAAAACAATAGAAAAATTTTTCTAATGATATTAGTATGCACTTCGGACTTGACAAATGCTGTGTCAATATTATTTAATTCTTAAATATTACCAAAGAAAAAGTTTAGTCCGGCAGATTCAATATACAAAATTGCCAGAACCTAGAGGCCATGGGTGAAAATGGTATGTATACATAGCTCGGAATAAAGCAAGCGCGGAGGATTAAGCATAAGCGAATGGAAACTGAGATAACTACGTAAACAATTAAACAAACAGATTACTAATTTTAACTTATTTTAAGGTGCAGTAAATGAATACAACACCGATCAAACTGAGAAAACTAGATATGCGCAAAGACCATCTTACTAAGGACGAAAAAAATGCATACGTAGATGGGTAAACCTCTGCACGTGTGACATCCCAATGAAGGCAGTCAAGACTATGTGGACAGTATAGCATCCAACTATTGGCTGACATAAGCAAATATGTTCCCAGAAACGAAAGGTTCAATACTTGTAATAATATTCTACAATTATTATTGCAAGCTCCCTGATCATGAAGCAGTATATACCAAGTTTAACACTCTTAACAAACAATTCTCGAAAACTCAACGCTTAGGTAGGATTTTTTCCACTCGTAACTTTCGTAAATTTCAAAAAATTTGCTTGACTTTCTCTCTGAGAGGTGGCACTTTCCCTCTATAAACGCGGACTATAATTTCAGTGTTTTTTTTTAAATAAGCTTGTCAGTATTTTCAATAATCCATTTTCTTTAATTAGAATTAAGTCAAAATATCTCAAACCCTGAACTACCAAGGTATACTCATATCAGCCAAGAACTACTGTACACCAAAAAATTTACTTGCAATGTCTTTGTCACTAAAAATATCTCCAAGTACAGAGGAACCTATCTAAAACTTATCAAAACAGCAAAAAAATGTACTATGAGAATCGTCTGGGAATCTCTAAAAATGTTGCAAGAAAAACTTCGACCTTTTTTCTTTAAAAAATTACCTCGACAAACACAAAAAATGGATTTTTTCTGCAATTTTAATTGTTTAATTGCATTTTACTTGTAAAAAAAAGAATATCTTTCGTCTTAAGATGAATTACTAAAATTATTTATAAATTAATAAATAATGGTTTTTGAAGCAAGAAAACTATTTTTTTATAATTTGTTTAAAATTTTCTATAAATAAAAAGGTGGACATGAAAAAATTTGGTATAATTTTGAATAGCATATTTATCTCATGATCTTTGGATTAAAATAAGTTTTAGCTTGTGGGTATAAAATCGGCCTTTTTCGACGAAAGCTATTCGTATAGTGCCACCTTTTTTTCTTCATTTATGAGGGGTGGTGGTCCAAATGTTTGAAACATTCGGTCTAAAAGGTAAGCAGAACCGCCTTCCAGCCTCGGTTATTCAGGGCTCCTCCAGCGTGGCCACGATGATATCCGAGGCCGCGCGCTAGCTTTGTTTGGACACCATCGCCGTCAATACCATAGATTTATGTGCAAAAAAAAACATCCTCCTCAGCGGTGAATTACACGGCGCTGTTCAATCTCACCTCTTCTCATTCTACCTTATCCTCTTGCTTGGCCCTGTCTTCCTTCGGGTCGCCTTACTTCTTGTTCCTTTCTTTCTAATGTTCTCCTCACGTATCTCTGAACTACTTTCCACCGATCTGACGACCTAAGCATCTCATTCAGCAGTTTTGTGACTGATTACACTCTACTTCCTAGCTGTCTCTCAAGCAGACTCCTCTCACCTATCCATCTATAGCATAGAAAGTGTTCAACATTTCACTATACAGGCATTTGTCATTTCTACATTTTCAAATCTGTAAAGTTATGCACTGAAGCAATCATGTCCTCTGAGTATCTGCGTCAGGAAATAATCCAAACGCCGGTGCCCGCAATCTATTCATCTTCTTAGATTAGGAATCAACGACTTCGTCCACTGCTCCAGCCTCCTCATCTCGTCCCATTTCTCTTGCCACACCATTATAGACCTCTCCCTTTCCCTTTTTTAAACATTCTGTTTCTATGTCTTCATTTCTTCTCTCGTATATTCTTTAACTTTCCTTTACTAACATGTGTATCTGAATACACTCGGCGACTCCTAATGCCTCAAGAGAGACTGTTCTGTATATACACGTGACCCTTAATAGACTTTTTCCTATCTGCTCGGGTAAGCTGCTTTCTGTACGCTTTTCTTAAAATTGCAAAACTTTAGACAGGCGGAGCGTAAAGGACCATCGATTGCACAACAGAATGAAGGGCACTTTTCCTCTCAGTTTTTGGAATCTTCGATGTAGGGCATGATCCCTCCTAATGCGGCGGATCTCACCGCACATGTTTAGGTCACCACTTTTACGTGCTCCCCCACTTTCCGTTTTGACTCAGAACCTAAATACCTTTCGCATTTCTTTGAAACCACTCTGTTTCATGCGCATTCGAATATTATCCCGTCCCTTTTCTTTGGGCCCTTGTAGTTCTTAGAATGACCCCCGTAACGTCACGACAACGTCACTTTGATAAATATATTCCACTGCAAAATGATGCTAGGCAAGTTACCCTCTGTTTCAGGTCACTGATATCCATCAATATAATATCGATATTTCCGCAGGTTTTTTGCCAAATGTTTGTGCGCTCTACGTCTTTCAGAGGAAATTTAAAGAAAGATATATTATTATTTGTTCCATCGTGTCTTTCAAAAAATCCTGCGCAAACACACTTATGCGTTACAGAAGCCATTTTATCTAAAATGCGAGTCCTTTTTTTTATAAAATTTCGCTATAGCTTTTTACAGATAATACACCTATAGTGTATGTGCGGCTCTGACACTACTCCTACCTCCTGTCATTTTAGTGCCTTAGTCGTGGACTAATACGCACCCTGATGCTCATTGCCCCGCCTTTTAAACATCCTTTTATTTTCTATTAGCCGGGAGATCTGAAAATGCCATATAAATACTAATATGGTTATAAATATTCGACTCTGCTTCATTTGCTACTGCAAAATATTAGACTCTGTAGTCAGTCTTTGCTTCAAACGTTGTTTTATTTCAACAATGATCTACGATATCATACATTACACACCCAGTCTTTATTAAGACTAGTTGTTGATCTTTTGGTTACCACACCACGAGGTGAGCTATCTAGTGGGTGGTTTATAATCAATGCTTTGCGTCAGCTTCCTTGGGTATTTCTTAACCAATACTTTTTTTACTGCGTAGCCCCTGGGCAAGATAACACTCCTAAGGTTACACCTTCGGATTGGGAAGCGTAGTAGTCTCAAGTTAAACTTGAGCATTATTCTATTAAAAGATTCTTGAACTGCTTGTGAAATAATAATACGTTGCTGTTCTTTAACAGTTAATGAGTAGGGAACCGAATAGTCAATAAAATCCAAAGGTATTTTTACATATTAATAGCAATTAAAATTATGATATACCTATGATTTATAGTTTAACTATATTTTTATGACATTTTTTACAACAAATTTAGTAACAAAATCATGACCTGCATATTTAAGTTATAAATGGTAAGCGTATGAGGTATTAAATAAGTATATTGAGTTATTATTAATTTTTATGTTCAATTTATTTCTATTTTCACGAAATTTCTTGCAAAAGTAGTCACGACATCATTGCCTTGCACGTATAATTTATAGTCACTAAAGATATGAGGTAACTATATAACTTACTGAATATGTCTTTTGTATTTACTTATTTTTTTGGGTCACTTTTACAAATCCATTAAATTCGCCATGATTAGTTCAAAATGGAATATTGTAGTGTTGGTTTGTGTATTAGTGCTCAAATGCAATATCGCTAGTGCAGGTAAATATATGATTAGTTGTAATTTGTATTTTCCAAACCAAATAGTATTGAAAGTCGACATTGCATTTATTTTTTAATTTACATAACTTATATATTCAAAGATGTGCACCATGTGTACTGCGCAAATATGAACAATTTTGCAGATTATCCAACCTATTTAGACAAAGTGATTTCTGCAGTTATTGATAATAGTTTATAATATTTTGTCGCAGTGTTCCAATATTTGCTACTTCTGACTTAAATACTACTTCCTTTGGCGTGCTCTTTTAATATTTGTCCGTCCATTATTCAGTGTAAACGGAAATAATACTTTACTGCAAATATTTTTTTTTTATTTCTGGTTGAAACTTTCATGATGGTTTTAAACAAATATCTTATACACATTGAAATATATTATTTGTACGATAAACTATACCTAATTCTAATATACAGATTGAACGAATTTAAAACGGATCATGCAATTTAATATATGTCTGTTTGAACTGCATTTGAAATAGTGGACCAATATAAAACTTGGACAAAAATAAATCCATACCTGGGTATAGACATTGTATAGAATACCGTTCAACTATTATGTCTCCCAACAATGTTGTTTGCGTAAAGGAAGCGATAATAGTCCAGGAAATGAAGCTCGAAAAAAGTTAAAATTTCGCAATTTTTCCGTCCTACATGGATTGAGTTGAAATTTTAACAGAAGGTAGGTGATAGCACAAGGATAAAAATCTATATCGAACCGAAGTGCGCTGAAGGGTTTTAGGGGTGAAAATACCCCTAATTGTTAAAATCTATAAAATAACATATTAAACTTGAATATGAGTAAGATTTGGTTTGAATTAGTTAAATAATGATTATTTTATACTTTTGAATAGAGTTCTATCATATTTCAACCCTTAAAAAGCAACCCTTGTTAGAGATTATTGTAAAAAATTACAATTAAAAAAAAATGATTTCGCCTTGGATGTATTTGGATAAAAATTTGGATTTAAGCTCAATTCACCCACTGCTTTATAGTTTATGTCATGTCGACGAACCCTGACTGATGCTTCAGTTTCGAAAAGGAAAATTTTAGTCATTAAAAAAGCTACAATTTAGTACATTTTAATTTTTTTCATATATTCAGTATTTTCGGGGATATTTAAAAAAAGAAGAGTAAAAAATATGAAATATTGAAAAAGATCGATTTTAATTATGTGGGTGGTTAGGGGGTTGTTTTCATGGGTTTTTTTCGTAAAAAAATGAGGTATATGACCTTAATGCTTCATTTCCTGGACTATAAGTGGTTTGACAGCATAATAAAATCGTAGATTTATGTGTAGCTTTCAATTTTTATGATTTCCGAATCCAGCAGCCCGCTGAAGTATTGAATTTTTATAATATAATTATTTGACAACCTTATGTTGGTCAACCACCTACAGCAGAATTGAGCCGAAATACATAATATTTCGTATGTTCCGAATTTATTTCGTTTAATCTGTATTTATACTTTATACGCCTATTTGAAATTATATACAACTTATTCTCAGATTTTTTACACTTATAGGTAAAAATCTGCGAATAATAGGAGGGACAAAGGCAAAAATAGAGGATCACCCATGGATGGTATCTTTCTCGAATGGTACTGGGTATCATTGGTGCGGAGGATCTCTTATAAATGACAACACTGTTGTCACCGCTGCACATTGTTTTGAGGACGACTATCTAAAGTAAGTTTAATCTTACTTATTTTGCTAAATTGTGTAATCTAAGTTGACATACAACCATTTGCACTTCAATGTTGGCCACCATTTTGACATACTCTAGAATCTTTTTATCATGTTTTTAAATAAATAGTCGATTTGGGAGAAAAAAAAAACATTTTTTAATAAAACTTATAGTAGTTAGATATAGTACAACAATAGAAGTTGTAGAAATGCTTTTATCATTACTTGAAGAATAAAAATGTTTGTTTAGATGAGATACTAAGGGCTGAGTAGGAAATAAAAAAAAACTTAAAAAAATAGTTCGTACTATATAATTATAAATGAATAGTAACTTCTTTCATTATAAATAATAAAATATTATAATAATAAATAAATAAAATAATAATAAAATAAATATAAATTGGCGTTGTTGGCAACACATTCTCCTGTAAAAATGTTTTTTTTTTTCAATTTCCAACTGGGTTTTGCTCAAAATGTCGAAAATGTGGAACTGCGTTGGTCATCACCTTATTTCATTGCACTTAAAACGATGTCAACCTACATAGGACTTTCTAACAAACGCAGTTTATCGTTTTCTTGCCTCTTCCAATTTTCGATATTTCTTTGTCCTTTTCTATTTCTTCTAACTCCAACAATGTCACTTGGTTCTTTTCTAAGAACCTATCCTATCACTCGTTTCTTCTTGGAGATTCTGAAAGCTCTGACAAAGTTGACCTAGGGTTCACTGATCCACGTTGTCGGTAAGAGTCTTCAGTATTAGTACTTAAGTCTTTTAGTAAACGTTTAACATTACTAAGTTCGAAATTTAAAACGTTTAGAGTATTACTAGATTTGGCCAAACCTGGAACACAATTCTTATGTTCTCCTGCTGTACCTAAGCTTATTAATATTTGTTCTGACTGTTTAAAATCAATGTTGTCTGTAGCAAAAGCCACAACTTCTTCTAAACTTATGTTTTTAAAGTCTTTTTTAAAAGGGTTCATTCTCAACAATTTTTAAAGCTGATGTGCTCTGATGTTAAACAGACAACATCAATGTGTCAGAACTTTCTAAGGACCCACAGCTTTTCTGCAAAATCTACAAGCAGTCAACCACGGCTTCCTGTTCCACTCATTTCATAGGTAACAAAATTTAACGTAATCTTTAAGAAATGAAACAAATGCAATTGGTTGTATGTCAACATTATGGTCAAAAATACCAGTTGCAAAAAGTACTAAGTCAAATATGGGAACATAGAAGTAATCAAAATTGATTATACATTGCTATAAGTATTGATCGTATAAACCAAGTAAACATTGTATTATTAAAATTAAATAGCTTTAAGCAAATAACACTAATTAAATTGACTTATCTAGCAAAGTTTAGGTTACAAATCTGTAGAAAACCTTAAAAACATTTTACATACGAATACAGTAATAAAATATCAAGTACAAATTTGAGGACGACGAAATGTGTCAAATAACTTTCCTTTATATTTTTTTAAGAATATTATATTATGATTAGTAATGTTTCATCTTAATTTTGACAGCATCTATGACCACAGCTTGACATAAGATTATTTGCAGTGGCCAAATAACATTGTCAAACTATTCGATTTTTTGAAACTCGACTTTATATAGACTTCTTATTGGGCTGTTGACGTACGACCTTTTTAAGTTGTGTAAATGACTGAATTGATCGATCACTTGTAATAAACCAATAAATATATATATATATATATATATATATATATATATATATATATATATATATATTGTTGTGCTATTTAAATTGTATTCTATTGCTTATTTAGAAAAGATCTTGTCTATATTTATTAAATGATCTAATCTCCAATTAATCACAATAAATCAGCATTAATTAATTACAATCTCAGGCTATTTAACTTGTACTATTTACCTTTGATCGTGGATTCAAAATATTTTCCAATTGGCTTCCTAATTGGGATAGGTAATATGACCTGAATAAAATACACAGAATTTCAACTGAACTATATGTGAGATGTCCTTTATTTTAATGAAATTTTATATAACAATCAATCCTGTAATATTTGCAACATAATACTTTAAATATATGAGAAGTTGTTTTCTATCATGGACCCAAATGTTATTTTACATTGATTTTTAATATGTGTTATAACTAAGCTCTCTTTCTAATTTTTTTCTTTAAATGATCGCAAAATTAACTGTCTCTATTATTTATTCAATTTATTTAATTAATAAATGAAAACCACACTCCTGCTCTAATGAAAATTGACTGACCTTTCGTTCTCTGCCGTTGCAATTCTATGACCACGCCATAAAAAAAAAACCTTTCTCTGCTTCTGCTCCTATTGTGGTCCAGATGACGTACACCTTTCTCCTATCTGTCCTTGTATCTGCAACCCAACAACTCGTGTAATTCTATGCAGCCTCCTTTTGAGCCAATCTCCGCGCCTGTTTATAACTTCAAATGTTTCCGGCTTCGTCTGATATTAATATTCTTATACCCTTTGGTTTTTCTATCTCTCTGTACCCCGTTCCTCACACTGATCAGCTTTTACACAGCAAATAAACACACCCGGTAAATTACGTCTTCGGGACTTCAAACAAACACAAACCACAAAGCTCCTTCCTTCTTGGGCGACGAAAACTGACTAACTCCTTTTTTCCTCTCTCCTATCTCATAGCCAAAACCACTACCTCCATTGCATTCAAAAATTGACCAATAAAAATCATCCACCTCTGTGACGTATATCGTTACCAACCAACTCTCTTTATAAAACGTCATTCGGGTAATTCCAGAAAACAACATTCTTTAATTATTCTAACTAAATCTATCTGCTTTACAAATATTTCTTACTAATAGCTACAAACGATACCTGTTTCTCAATTCAATGTCTTTTGTTAATAAACTTTTACCGATATAATCTTTCGGGGAGAAAAACCACCGCAAATCCCGGTCTATTGTTTAAACACTGTCTATATACACTTTTATTCTGGGTAAATCCATTCCACAATAACCGACTTATTTAAATTTCTTATCGATAATATTTGAAAGTCTTGTCTCTGAGGCCTAATGAACAATTCTTCGAACAACTTAAAATACATATTTTGTCTTATACAGGATGTTTGAAAATTTATATGCCCGTGTCTTTATGAAATATCAATAATTTTAATTTTTATTTAAGTAATAAAATTTGTATATCGGTTTTTTATTGCTAATGGACATTCAAAAGTACAACAATATTATATATATATATATATATATTATATATAATATATATATATATATATATATATATATATATAGGGTGAATCATGAGGAACTTTACATACTTCTACCATATGTAGAGTCCCTCAGGGAGCATATCATGTGGCTACTAAAAAATGTCAACTCCTCTTCTTTATTAATTAACAGGGTGATTTGTGTAATTGACCATTTATTTCATTTTACTGTAGTGTTTATACGGCTCATTTGATTTTTTTTAATTTTTGCATGATACAGTACACTACTATCAAGCATTCGACTGGTATTAGCTAAACTAAAAAATTCCATAACTGGCTTTAGAAAAATTAATTTAGGCATTCGTATTAAATATTACACCCCGTATATATTTTTTTAAAATACAATAAGTGATTTTCAAACTACATAAATAGCCAATGAAAACGACATATGCGACAATGTTGTCGCACTTTTATTAAATTTTTAGTGAACGATCAAATCTTACCAAAAATAGAACAACCATAATGAAGTATCGTGTCTAGGCCTCCACTCTAAGATGCTTATCGTAGTCGAGGACGTCCTCCAACAAGGTGGTCGGACGATTTAAAGCGCATCCAGTCTAACTGGATTCAAGTTGCTCAAGATCGGATGCAATGGAATTATTTACGGGAGGCCTATGTTCAGCAGTGGACGCAAAATGGCTAATGATGATGAATGAAGTATCAAATTATAAGGTGATTAATTTAAACAAATGTTATAAATTTCAAACATTTTAATTGAAATGATAAAGCTGAGTCACCGCACAACAAAAAAAAGTAACTACTAACAATAACGAAGAACAATTAAAAGAAAAAAAACTAAAAATGAGTACATAGTTATGATAAACCCATAAATTAGAACTGGAAAAGATACAATAATGGTAACAAAATAAAAATAATTCAAAATAGATTTTCGAAATGGAACCTGCAGCCTGTACACATTTTTGTTGTCGAATTGTTTATTGACGTATTGGTTAATTACGGATACTCTGGGGATCGTTTCTAATAGTATTACAACAATGTATCTTTCTTCTAGTTCCATGACCGTTATCGATCGTTGGATATCATGTTGGCTACCATATTCGCTATCGTGACTTTATTGACAGCAGCTCTAAATAACGATGTAGTTGATTTTCCATACCATTGCCTTAGATTTTTCAGCCATGATGTTCATCTTCTACCAGGACCACGATTACCTTGGATCTTTCCCTGAATGATCAGATGTAAAAGATCATATTTTTCAGGGTGTCTCATAATATGACCGAAGTATTCCAGCTTGCGTTTCTTTATTATATTGACCAGTTGTGTTGTTTGGTTCAGCCGTCTAAGGACCTCCTCATTTCTAACTCTATCGACCCAGCTTATTTTCAGTAGTCGTCTGTATACCCACATCTCAAAGGCTGTCAAGCGTTTAAGCATAGCCTCAGTTAGGGTCCACGCTTCTACTCCATACAGCAGGACAGGAAAGATGTAGCAAGATATCATACGAACTCTAAGGTCAATGCTAAGATCGTGACTGCAAAGTACGTTTCTCATTTTTACAAAGGCAGCTCGGGCTTGTTCTATTCGTCTTTTAATTTCTGCGGTTGGATCCCAGCTATCATTGATATTACTACAACAATGTATAATTCTATCAATTAATTGTTGTCGGTTATTAATATTCACTGCGTAAACTAGTTGCTTCAATCGTCCCCAAATATGGTAATCAACGGGATTGAAATCAGGGATCTTGAAGGCCACGAAATAGGACCTGCACGTCCTATCCAGCTGTTGCCATAAACATTATTGAGATGTTGTCTCACTGCCAGTAAAAAGTGTGGATGTGTCCAATCATGCTGAAAATACATCCCTCGGATAGCAACGTTCGCGTTGGCAAGCAAATTTGGCAAAATATTTTGTAGAAAGTTCAAATAGACCTTCCCTATTAAAGGACCATCAAAAAAGTGAGGACCTACTAATTGGTTATTTATGACACTAATCCACACGTTAACCGAAAACCTTAACTGAGAACGACGTTCTCAAATAGCATGGGGATTTTCTTCTGCCCACACATGTGAATTTCGTGAATTATTTATCCGTCTCTGGTAAATTGGGCTTCATCTGTAAATAGTGTCCTGTATAGCGTTGGTCGATTATTGTTAATCCATCTACAAAATTCTAACCTGTCGATCTCATTTCCAGCATGTAGTGGCTGTACCATTTGATTGTGATATGGGTATAGATTATTTTTTTGTAAGACTCTACTTACTTTTTGTTGAGTAACATTGAGTTCTCGACTTACTTGTCTAGTGCTTATTGTTGGGTTCATAGTAACGGCGTCCATAATGTCATCTTCCTGCGCTCATCTACATGTCGCTCTGTTGTTCTACTAGGAAAAGTGCCATTTTCTCGCAAATAATTAAAAACTGACCCAAAGTCTGAGTTCGACGATTAGGAAATCTCCCCCGATATACTCTACTAGCAGCCCTACCATTCCTATTACAGAATCCATAAGCAAATATTATGTCTGCATATTCTGTGGTCGAAAACTGATGTGGCATTTTGAACGAAAGTAACAAAAGCTCTACCAAAAACTAACACAATGTACTTAACGTAGATATGACAGAAGAAATATGTATTTTTGTACACATAAATAACAATTGATAATGACAATATTGACAATGGGTATAAAATATCAAGAGACGTCAAACGGTCAACGCCAACCTTCATTTTAAACTTTTTTAGATTTATTTTTATTTAGTACAGTTGATGCAATGTATTATTATTTGACATAAAATTTTAATCATTTACAATCAACAAAAACTAACATATATAAGAGGTTTGACTTTTTAATCAATTTAATTTATTATTTATCGAAAGTAATGCCCCAATACGATCTATGAGTAAAAATTTTAAAATTGAAAAACAATTGATTTTATCGTAGAGGATAATACAAAGTGATAGTAAAGATGTTAATTTTCTACGTATTAGATTAGGTTGTAGGAAACTCATTTTAATTAAAATGTTTGAAATTTATAACATTTCTTTAAATTAATACCTTATAATTTGATACTTCATTATGGTTGTTCTATTTTTGGTAAGATTTTATCGTTCACTAAAAATTTAATAAAAGTGCGACAACATTGTCGCATATGTCGTTTTCATTGGCTATTTATGTAGTTTGAAAATTGCTTATTGCATTTTAAAAAATATTATATACAGGGTGTAATATTTAATACGAATCCCTAAAAATTAATTTTTCTAAAGCCAGTCCTGGAATTTTTTAGTTTAGCTAATACCAGTCGAATGCTTGATAGTAGTGTACTGTATCATGCAAAAATTAAAAAAACCAAATGAGCCGTATAAACACTACAGTAAAATGAAATAAATGGTCAATTACACAAAATCACCCTGTTAATTAATAAAGAAGAGGAGTGTGACATTTTTTAGTGGCCACATGATATGCTCCCTGAGGGACTCTACATATGGTAGAAGTATGTAAAGTTCCTCATGACTCACCCTATATATTATATATACTATATATATATATATATATATATTTATATATATATATATATATATAAATATATATATTTATTATATATATATTATATATATTTATTTGTATATATATATATATATTGTATATATATATATATAATATATATATATATATAAATAAATATATATATATATATATATATATATATATATAGGGTATATATATTATATATATATATAATATATATATATACATTATATATATATATATATATATATATTTATATATATATATATATATATATATCTTCTTATTACAGGTAACTGTGGCTTTCTACTTTAGTTGTGGCTATGCGTTGAATTCAGGGTCATCTGACGTTATTATCACAAAATGGTTAAATTGCTGTTACAGTTACCCTTGACTAATCACAAACTGGTACTAGAGCAGTACTAATCGAGTAACGACGAGAAGTAGATCCACCAGGCTTGAGAATGGCAAGTGAGACCTTGCCGAAACGTCGCCAAAACAATGGTTTTCAATAAAACCAGCATTTTACAACGCGGAGTCAAACCCGGAAAAATGAGTGACAGCATTTATATATATATATATATATATATATATATTATATATATATATATGTATGTATACCATTTATATTATTAACTAAAACTGACAATAGATGGTTTTCGAAAAGTTTTTGCAAGATACATTGCTTTTCTAAAATGGCTCTTAACAAAACAAAAAAGAACCAATTATTATTTCTAATGATGAGAGTGTACGGTGACAGAAAAAGATCTTATTGTGAAGTCGCTAACTTGTTTCAATTATACTTTCTTAAACCGTTCTCCTAATTCATAAGGCGACGATACAAAAAACTCGATTGGAGAAATCTAGAAAACTAAAAGATAGATACCGATCAGGTAGACCGAAAAGAGTTATGAATGATATAAAAAAACTTAATGTAGATAGTAGATGTAGAAATAAAGATATATTGCAAAGTTTTAATGCAAAGTTACACACAAAATTAACTTATTGCAAGAATTAAGTAAGGATGGCTTCGATTGTAGATTAGAGTTTACTGAGGTAATGATGGATAAAATTAAAAATTACGAAAATTTCGTTAACAATTTTAAGGTTCTAGAGTGATATAAATCCACACTGGATGGGTGAAAACCATAGTCAAAGACCACAAAAATAATATGTATAGTCAGGTATAGTTGGTATTTAGTTAATTGGGTCATTTTTTTATCGAAGGAAATTTACCGTCAGACAGTTACGAAATGAAATTGTACCTACACTAAGAAACTTGTTTGTGACCAATTTTAATCAGATATGGTTTTAGCAAGATTAAGCTCCAGCTCATTTTGGTGTAAATGTTCGGAGTTATTTAGATCAGATATTTCCCGAACGATGGATTGGTAGACTAAGAGAGTTGACTGACCTACACGTTCACCTGATTTCAATCCTAAAGAATATTTTTATTAAGGGTACTTGAAAAGTTCAGTTTACAAAATTAAACTAGCAAGTCTTGCAGAGCTAAGTCAACGAATTATCGATGAATCTCGATTAATTTATCGACAATCATTGAGAAATGTAGTAAACGCAGTCTACCATCGATTAGGGTACTGCCAACTAACAAAGGGAGCACATTTTGAACAATTCATCAAGTTACCATTAAGTTAAAAAATGTTTTAATCTATCAATTGTAACGTTTTTATGTTGTATATTGAGACTAGACAAGACAAGACTATTTATTGAGATAATTAGGCGTTGCCAGACTTATGTTTTATGTATTTAAAACCTTCCAGATTTAATTAAATCATAAGTGTTATATGTGGTTGAACTCATATTGAATAGGATATTCCAATCATGACTGAATATACAGGGTGATGAATTTAAAAATTAAAAGTTACTAATAATATAAGAGGAATGGAATCTGACAACATTGCAAATATCAAATATGGAATCTCGATATCCCAAAATGGGTGTATCTTAACTTTTGTACAATATAGACTAATTTGTTATTTTATTTTATATAAGTGCGGTCTTAATTTATTACATATTTTCAGATATGCCGTAGTTGGGGTTGCTGATTTGAGACATGAAAAAACTTTCATACCGTTGAAGAAGTCTAAACTGCATGAGAAATACGACTACCTAAAAACTGGTTACGATAATGATATAGCAATTGTTAAGGTTGGTAGTCCTAAAAATAATACAATATAACTTGTCTGAGCTTTGATTATTTTACTTTTTATTATTTATCAATAGGTATTTCATATTTTTTTAAACTTGGCTACTGTATTTTTCATTTTCTTTTTTTCCTGATCTATGTTTTTGTTGCTTTTTGTTTTGAGTCGGTACGTTTTCAATTTTAAATCGTGTTTTCTTCAGAAATGGCATAAAATGGTTTAAGATAATATTTTACATTTTTTGTGATGTATAATTTGCAGTCCACTACAGGAAATTAACTTTTTGTTGTCGATTTTACAATTAATTTTATTTATTTCTCTACAATATTATTAGTTTTTCAATTATGTATAAAAAGATCAATGAGTGTACATTATTTGATTTTATTTCTGTATACATATATTTATGTAGCATATGGATACACGCAATACAATTATATTACTTTGACTCCCAGGGCATATTTCAAAAAATTATCCACTCAGCCCGAGATATATATTTTTTTATTGTTGCGGCTGAAAATGTTACACTATATAATGGTGATTTAAAATATTGCTATATTTCATTATTCTAAGGGATATTTAGGCTATGTTCAAATTCGATACACATAGTTCACAAGCCACGAAAATACCGATTACACACCAAATAGCATAGGTGTAGGTTTTTATTATGTTTTTATTGAAAATATTACACAATAACGTTTAAATAAAGCAAGCAACTATTTTACGGCAACATGTATTTAAAAAAAAACAATTAAACACATAACTTTTTTCAGACACCTGTAACTGGTAGTACATGTTAGTGTTCAAAGTTGCATTAAAAAGGATTAGTGCGTTTACAACAGCGGTACTGGTAAGGATTTTAATACCTACGTTACGATATCATTTGACTGATCTGCGGACAGGATTACTGTAAGATAATCTCTGATCCCAAACATCGATATAAGACTTAACGAAATTATATTCCACTATTGTATTTGGTTTCCTGTTGGTACCTGTCCGTGTCTATACCGTAATAATTTCTGGATAAAATTTGGATGTTAAAAAACAAACTTCTCGTTTGTCAACCCATTAAACAACAATAAATTTTGTGTTGCTTTCAAGAGTTGTCATGTCCAATCTTGATGTTTTTCTTTCTATGATTTCGTAGCGTCCCTATCAAAATGATTATTGTTGAGTAAAAAGGGCTAAACCGACGCTTGTATAGTAGTTGTCCGTTACTAATGTTCTACCACTTTTAAGAAGAGGTTGTATCAATTCCATTACAACGGATGGAAACAGACTGATCAATTGGTCTACTTTGCTTTTTAGCGTAGATTTTTATGTTGAATGTATATCCTCCTTGTCCGCACAACTTAAATATTTTTATCCCGTATTTGTGTCGTTTTCCCGCTATATACTGTAAAAATGATAACTAGACTTCGGCAAATATGCAAATAAAAATGTAGAAAATATGCACGTGTTTACCCGAAAATATGCAAATATTTTACAAAATATGCATACAAATAAATAAAAAAAATCGTAAAATACTAACAATTTTATTTAAAAAAAAAAGTGTACATAACTAAATATTTCCTACTATTCATTAAGATTTACATTTATTTTAAGTAACTACATCATTTTTAAGTATGAATACACTTATTTAGAATTATGGTAACAATAAATTACCAAGTGGTGTTCAAAATTTTCTAACAAAAACTTGTGGCTTCTGTCTGAGTACATATATTTATATATGGAAAAACTTCGTTCAACATCAACTGATGTAACGGGAGCATTTTTCAAACTAACCAAAACATTTGGTTCTAAATTAATTGTTTCCGAAATATTTCCAGCTAGAACACTGACTACTTCAGAAAGAATATGGTAACCTTTATTTTTTTCCATAGTAGCTTCAAATTTTTTTAAAATATCTTTTCCAATATTACCTCTAACGTTCCGACAACATGACGCAAATTCTTTTATTAATGCTGTACTTTCGAACAATGACAGTTTTGGTGATTCTAACTGAGTAATTGTTTTTTGAACAAAACTAAAATTTGATTTTATAAATGAAAGTTCTTGTTGAAGCAAGTTACTCTGAAAAGTTTGTTTAGAATCCAAAGAGATTGGGAACTTTCATCTGTTAACGTATCAATTATGTTCTTTATTTTAACAAAATGATCTGCATAAAAATTGGCTGCTTCTAACCATGTTCCCCATCGCGTTAAAATAGGTTGTGGTGGAAGAGGAATGTTAGGTAGCATTTCTTTATAAAGTTGAATTCTTATAGGAGATTTAAGAAATACTTTTTTGACACTGGATATTATGGTATTTACAAGAGGAAACTTTTTTCGTATTTCCTTTGCAACTCTGTTTAATCCATGCGATACACAAGTAACATGTATTAAATCTGGGAAAAATATTTTTAAATTTTGTCCTGCTTTCACCATACAAGGAGCAGCATCCGATAAAATAAGCAGTAATTTATTAGAAGGAATAGTTGTCGGAAGAAAAAAAGTTGCTAATGTTTCTTGTATAAAACGCGAAATTGTTAAAGCATTTGTTTTCTCAAGTTGCTGGCATGAAATGAGATGAGATTTTGGTAAGATATCTTCTTTAAGAACACCAATCAATAAATGAGCAATATACTTTCCTGAGGAATCAGTGGTTTCGTCTACAGATATGTAAAAATAATTATCTGCAATTTCTTCCTTAATATTAATTAACACCGACGAGTATAGCCCGTTCACATTATTTCTTCTTAGAGACCGATCACTTGGAACATTAAGTTTGCAATATTTTTTTAGAAACGAACTAAAATTTACATTTGCTAATTTTGAAAGCGGTATGTTTGCAGACACTAATGCGCGACACAAGTCTTCATTAAAAGTTTCTTGCTCATCTAATTTTTTTTGAAGTAAATTGGAAACATTTAGCCATTGAAGTTTGATGTTTTCCTCCTATTTTTCCTTTTTTTGCAATGTGTGAAGCAGTTCTCACATGTTGGTCTATCTGAAATTTCTTCTCACATGCTATCTATAAATAAAAATAAAAACCTTTATTTTAACCCAACCTTTAAAATATAAAAATATACAAGGTGTTTTTGGTTAATCAAATAACTGGTTTGGAAAAAAAAACACTCGTTAAGTGTTTTAAATGCAGTATTAATCCACAAATTAGTTTTTGTTACTAACCATTAGTACATCATATAACTTATTTTAAAATTCAACAAAAGTTTTTTTTTTGTTAATTCAATTACAATAAAAATAATTGTGTTTTAGAATAGCTGACTTCATAAAAAAAGTAAAGGTGAAAATTTTTTCTAAATACACACCATTGTATTGTACCATGGACAATTTTTTCTCACTAAAGGAAGCTATTTTTCATTTAAAAACAACCTACGAGTACTAAATTTCAAGTAAATACGTTTACTGGTTTTAAAGTTATTGTTGTTATTAACTAAAAAAATTTAATTTTTTTTAATTTTAACACCCTGTATCTCGAAAAGTAAATAAGTTTGACCCCTCATTAACTATATCGTTTTGTTCAATTTTTTGAGAAGTATCTACAGTCAAACGTTGTAAGTGTCATTTGGAAACACCCTGTATGTATGAAATATTAGATATTTAATAGAAAATATTAGATACTTACAATTTTGCCACAGACTGAACAGTAGATTTTTCCCATATCCATAGACAGCTCTTTATAAGGTTTAATCCAAGTTGAAGCACTGGTTGTTTTAGGCATTATAAAATCACAATCTTCCTTTTTGTTACGCACAACGAGTGTTTACGCTTTGAATATCAAAACAAAAATGATTTACAAATCTAAGCATCAAATTAGAAATGTTTAGGTACCTAATTCAATAAACTGGGAGATTTTGGAAAATCCCTAAATTAGGAACAAAACTATTAGCCGTTTAGCTGCTGTTAAGATACAATAAATTGTAGATAGATTTGGGGATTAGATCATAAAATGCAAATGAGCGAACCCTTAGCGATTATCCAATAACTGAATTCCTCAGTGACCGAGACTTTCTAACAATGTTGAGGCTACTTAAATTGATCTTCTTTGAAATTGTAAATGTTTTGTACCTGTAGAGATTACGTACTTAGATCATTTCTTGATTAAAATGACTACAAAATTTTATACAAGTATTGAAATAAATTGGTATGTTTAAAAATTTTCAAATACAGTATAAAAATCTGAACTTTTATGCACTTTATGCAAACTTTAACAAATATGCAAATAAAATATTGCATAAAATATGCACAATATGCAAAATATGCAATATGCATATTTGCCGAAGTCTAATGATAACCTTCCCCGAAATGGAACCATTGACTCGTCGATGAAAACGTACTCGCCTGGAGTATAAACGGTTTGAAAATTTCTATTACAAATTTCTATTTGAAAATGAATGTCTTCATTATTTGCAAAATGAAGACGTGCCTTAAATCTATTTCTTAAAATCTGTGTACTTTGATCAATCGATAAATGGAACATTTATGAACAAAATTTGTAGTCCAGTAGTCTCTTAGTCTTGGTATTAGATTTAGGCCCATCCATGGAATATGCCCAAGAATGTTAAAGCTTCTGTAATATTTGTATCAGTTTCATTAGTTAGAAAAGAATTTCGTTTACTGATTCATTGATGATACCATTAATAATTTGTAGTTTGGCATAAATATTGGTTTCGGTTATCAAAAGATCAAGTATATCTTCCGTCAGTAGAAATTTATAAAATGAAAGTGGACTTTTATTTTGACGATGTATAACATTCAAAATTGGAAAAACTACAGTATTGTGCGAATTAATGGAATCACTGAATTTTTTTTCATTTTTTCAATATTCACAAGAAAATATTTTGGGGATGTTTTTCATACATGGGGGTTCAATCTTTGGTGCCAATTGAAGGCATGATGAACAGCCAAAAATACAAATCCATGTTGGAAAAGTATTTGGACAAACAAATCCAAAAATGTCAACCCCAAGGAGGAGCGATTCTTCAACAGGATTCTGCTCCTGTCACAAATCAAAGGAAATGATGGCATTTTTAAAAATAAAAAGATTAATGTTTTAGATTGGCCCGGTAATTCGCCCGACCTCAACCCCATTGAAAATTTATGGGCCATTTGCAAAGCTAGACTGCGAAAAATCGACTGTACCACTAAAACAAAAATGATAGAAGCGGCCATTCAGGTTTGGTATCAAGATGAAAGGATATCTGACAACTGCCAGAAACTCATAGAATATATGCCAAAACGGGTAAAAGCAGTAATTGCTGCCAAAGGGGGACATATTTCCTACTGAATGATGTAAGTTTACCTTTATAGTTTTGTCAAAATATAATGTTTTACTAATTAAACTGTTTTTTTATTAAAACAGCCTATGATTCCATTAATTCGCACAATACTGTATTTTGCTGAAGTGAAAAAGCAATAAAATTACCAACAACATCATCCATATAACACGTGTCTCTAAATTTCTTGTCGATTGCGTAATTTGATTAATGACAACTTCAGAATCCAAATATGCCTTTCCACTGACCTAAAAAAGTGCAAAATTTAATTTTAATTTTTTCTTAAACTTCAACGGCATTTTGTTTTTAAATTTTTTTTGGCAATTTTATTTTCTTCTATCACGTACTCCTATTTTGAATAGCCATATTAGTATCACGGAGTTGGTTGCTATACTTCTCCAAAACGGTTTGACCTATTTTTATAAAATTTATGTATATTGGGCAGGTCTAAGATTCGCTGGTAACATAGTTTTAATACCCCTTATTAGGATGACGTAGTCAGCTATCCCACAGTTTTTTAATTCATTGGAATTGTCTGGACCCCGTATCTTACCTTACCTAACAATTCACATTAAAGTAAATTAGTTGCTATTATATACAGCTGACGATACAGCCATTCTTGCAGAAAGTTTACAAGATCTCCAAACATTACTAAATCTAGTCAGTGAAGCAAGTTATCGGAGAGGCCTAAAAATCAACATTTCAAAGACAAAGTGGATGGCAGTTGGAAAGATCCATATAGATCAAGGTCTGCTTTCTCTTAATGGAGAAGAGATAGAAAGGGTAAATCATTTCAAATACCTTGGCAGCTGGTTAAATGTAAATTGTGACTCTGATGAAGAGATAATATCCAGGATCGAAATATCACGTAAGGCTGTTATGACCTGGAAACCAGTTTTATGCAACAGAAACCTGTCAATGAATATTCGTAAGAAGGTCCTGAAATGTTATGTATGGTCGATCCTATTGTATGGTTGTGAGACATAAACGTTAAAAACCACAATGCTAAACAAGTTAGAAGCATTCGAAATGTGGTGCTATGGACGAATCCTAAAGATATCGTGGGTTTCGCACACTTCCAATGAAGATGTTCTTCAAATGATCATTCATTCAATGATTCAATTCAGAACGTCTGCTCATAAAGACCATAAAGAGGAGAAAAACAGAATACTTCGGCCATATAATTAGAGGACCTAAATACCATTTACTTCGCCTTATAATACAAGGAAAAGTGGAAGGAAAGAGGATGTCGAAGAATTTGGCGCGTAATATTAGACAATGGTGTGGTTTCACAGTAGAAGAATTATTTCGCGCAGCAGCCGACAGAGAAAGGTTTCAGGAAATTGTAAACATGATGACGGCCAACGTCTGAATACGGACACGGCACCCACAGAAGAAGAGTTGCTATTATCATATGTTGCGTAACATTATTCAACCTCGACTGTGTAATGAAACAGGACTGATTGTAAACAATCAATAAATAATATCATTGAGGCATTGATCATCAGAGAATAATACAAAGCAAAGGATGTCTTGATCCCGCTTATACAACTAACATTTCACAATTTTTTGTACTTTTGGCTATTGCAATGACCATGAAGAAATCGCAAAGCCAATCGTTAGAAATTTGCGGAATTAACTTGGAAGTTCCATGCTACGCGCATTGAGAATTATTCGCAAGTTAATAAACTATCATGATTGCATATTTACGCAACGCAAAAAATAAATATTTAACAAGCATTAAATTGATTCGACTTTTTTCAGTTTGTTTAAGTGTTTTTATTTGGTTTTATTTTCTGTAAATTTTTAGATATTAATATTACATTACAATCAACAATATTTTATGACAATTTAACAGAAAGTTAAAGTAATTCTGTTGGGCTTTATTATTATCTACTTTTTAATTTGTTATAAACTATTTCATTTGTTTGTTTTTTCCTATTATGTATATCCCTATTATGTATATAATATGGTTAGTCATTTTGACTTTACTTAATTCTGACTGTAATAATGGCAAATTTATGTTTTGTTATTAAATTATTAAACAAATTTATTCGTTCCAGCTGACAGAGAAAGTTGTATTTTCGTCTAAGATTCAACCCATACGTCTACCAAAACACGATATTCACATACCAAATGAAACACCCGTTATTACTGCAGGTTGGGGTACTACAGTTCCAGGGGTAAATATATAAACATTTATTACATTTAATATGTATATATATATATATATATTATATAAATATAATATATATATATATATATATATATATATATATATATATATATATATATATATATATATAATCGTCGCAATAACCGCATTATGTCGTAACCCACCAACACTTAATTTTAGAGGAGAAGGAAAAAACTGTTTTATGTCATTTAAAGCAAATTTAAGAAAATGTAATTAATATGTATAAAGTTATTTCATTGCTAGATTAATGTTTTATTACATTTTAATTAGTTCTATTACTTTTTTCTGGTTAACGGTGGCTTACGACATATTGAATTTTACAATTTGGACTAATTCTGTGGATTACGACATATTACTACATAATTCGGCTATATTTATTTAATGTATAGAACAGACGAAAATAATTAAAATTGCTTTTATTTTGTTCATATAATTTAAACGGAATTTTCTTCCCCTATTTCCATTCATTTGTCTGTTTCACCTTTCACCATTCATTCTGCCTTAATCTCATTGTATCTAAAGTAGGCAAGTCCTGTGTCATGAAATCTGGTTTAATAAAAACTACTGGTAGTTTGTAGGAGAATTTTTTATTTACTAAATTATAATAAACGATGTAATAGTAAGACGATTATCATTACGTAAAGTGAGGTATGTTGTCGTAATAAGCATGACAGTCTTTGGGAATGACTGGTTTAAGCTCCTGTAAGTGCTTGAATTTCGATGCAGATATTTTTCTTGGTTCTTTATTAAGCTTGTTCCAAGTGATGGGTGCTGCAACTTGAATCATCCTTTGAGGTAATATCTGCCACTCGTGATCAAAATTTGTTTTGTAAAGTACCTCCCCTCCTGGAGTGTATTTAATTGCTCTTAGGTCAACAACTTTGTTCGTACCTGCTCGAAGTGACTTGAAGCGATATTTTGATGAATCGGAGTAGTCAATAAATTCATCATAGTTCATCCACTTGGCAACATAAGGCATAGGCTTAGATCTTGCAGTTTCGGTAGCTGTCAAATAAAAGCTTGGTAGAAAAATTGGTTTGTTTTTAACTTTCTTTTCAATATTCGCATGAACAGAATCACACTCCATGTGAGTGTGTCCAACTTCGAGATATTTCTGAATTATGGTTTTTTTATGATCTATCGCAAAATCTAACAGAGCATTTCCCATTATACAATTTCTATTTTGATACGTGCAGCCATCGGAATAAATTAAAATTTCGTCGTCATCTTGGCAGTGGGTTTGCAGGTAACGAATTAATATTGTAGCAAATGTCGATGCTTTTAAGTCAGTGTCAGTTTCGCTAAACCAAAAACATACCGTATATTTAGTGGCGATATCATACACAGTCAGGTTATGGCAACATAATTTTGTTTTAAAGTATGCTGAGCTTGATTGTATGGAAGGGGCCACCTTAACAGCCTGTAAATCCATTTGAATAAGTCTAGTTTTTTTGTTAACAGCATCTACTTTGTCTTTCTCCAGTTCTTCTCTAGCTCGATTTTTCCGATTTACATGCTGTTTCCAGACATCTTCGGTAATATTTCCTACTTCATATTTTGTGCAAGTGTCACATTTATCTTTTTGGATAGTATGTAATGACATGTTTTTATCTTTGAAAACAATTGAAAACTTGGTTTTACTTAAGGGTATTATTCCTTTGTTTTTAACGTGTTCACAGTATACTGAGTATAATTTTGATAAAGAGTCAAAACATTGTTCTAAAAAA